ATATTTTTCTCCCTGTTGTGCCTAATCTCATAATTCACTTGGAGAATACTAAACTCTTCAACAACTAATTCTTCTAATGGTTGTATCAGAACTTCTTTTACCATCCGGGTACTGTATTAAGTATCAAGATCTCATCATTATACAAAATGAAGGAAAAAATCTCCAGTGTATCAATCCTACAAATTGTCAAAACTGTCAAACACTATCCTCCTGTTGTTCATAGATTTGCTCAAGCAGGTCTAGTAACGTCTTCATTTTGAGACTTGTTGTTACTGTGTTTGGCATATTGAATAAGTCACGGGTAGCTTGCCGGGCTTTACCACGCAGGAAAGATACTCTCGGTAGCTTTCTGGGCTCTCCGAAAGGGGCAGAGAGGGCTCAGCCGAGCTGGCTGTGCGCAAGGCAAACGCCCGACCGCTGTGCTATTGCTCCAGCCCTATCAATCTTACAACTAATAATATTTATTGTCACTTATGGTGAGTCAGGCACTTTAACAGAAGCAATATTGCCCTTGATTTACAGATTTGAACAATGAGGCTCGGAGAAATAGTTTCCTGTGTTTAAAATCCCAGGAATAATGATAGGGGCTAAAGTAAATTATATCTAATGTAAGTTCTGCGTTTTAAAACAGATACCCTTTACTTGAAAAATACATACAACAGTGGAGAATAAACAGTTTCAGTTCACGTACCTACCCCAAAGAACCATGCCCCATTAACAAGCAGCATTATTTGTTTTGATATGTCAGATATTTCAGGATTTCCTGAATTCTTACAGGTGGGGTTATGCTCTCCTATTCTATATTACTTTGCTTCAGTCTATAAATCTTTCTAACATTACCAGATTCTAGACTTGATATCAGAACTGATAGATTAAGTTTTTCTGATTTCTAGACTCTGATTTCTCCTTTCTTAATTTAATCTTCATTAGTTCCTTTTTTCAAAATTCAGTTGAATGTATACTTTTTTCACAACTCACTCATTCTATCATTTTTAAATTAACAATAAAAATTATGGCATTATTAATTAGTCTGCTCTCTGGCCACGGAATACAAATGCAAATAAATTAGATAATTTGTTTAACCCTAAATCTAGTAGTTCCCTTTGGTTTAACTTGTGAATTGGTTTAAATATTTCTCTTGGGAGAGATGTTGGCATGGATAGAGCACTAGCCTTGCAAATGACTGACTTGGTTTGATTCCCTGAAACCCTATAGGGACACAAAGTTCAACCAGGAGTAATGCCTGAATGCAGGGCCTGGAGTAAGCCCTCAGCATAGAATATATGCCCTCAAACAAACTAAAATAAATAAAAAACAAAACTGTTTTCCCCCGGTAAACATTCAGTTTGGTGTAAATTGATCTTCCAAGATATGTTTATAATTTTCAGATTATTTTTCAATTTCAACAGGAGCAAATATACCTATCCATGTAATTAAGATGCACATGTACGTATACATGTCTAAATATATATGCTTATATATTAGCAAAAATATAATGCAATTATGCTTTTATAAAAAGGATGGTCACCTTCTAGAAACCTCTAATCCAAAAACAATTTTCATACTCAAAATCAACCCATTAAGTCAATCAACCAATTAGCATAATCTATATAAAAGAAGCCAATTATACTAATCATTTCACTGGACTGTTTTTTAAGTAAATGTAATAAATATTAACTTAAAGTAAAGTGTGTAGCAAATATGCTGTTATTGTCTACATCACCTATAATGAAAGTGGAAGAAGTATTATGTGAATAGTAAACATTAAAACATTTCTAATCAATAGGAACACTGACTTTTTTTTTTCTCAAATTGTCTTAACAAGTTACCAATCTCCCAATACTGTTGAAAATATATTACATTTCAGGTTGAGCCCAGCTGGGAAAAGGGACAAAGTTTCTCTTCGAATTATAACACACACAGCTAGTATAATTCTATATGCACAATCAATATTGATTAATAACAATGAGAAGAACAGCTGCCTTGAACCTGACATGATTCTATCTTTAGAGAATCTTTGGGTTATCAGGGGATATGCTGGTAATGTAGACCACTGCTCAGATTGGGAATTTGACAAACTAAAGTTTGTTCACTAGGCTTTAGTTAATTTCCTTTGGGAAATCAGTTCAGTAAGACTCATAGATTTTGCTAAATTTTTGAATTTTAAAGGCCTAATTCACAAGATTAACACTTTCCAAACCTACTCATAATAAGAAAAATATATGCATACTCACACATCTACATGGCTTGTATATATTTCTTACATAGGTTTGTTTTAACTATTCCAAACTAAGGTAGAATTTAGAATTTAACCGTAATCCTTCAAAGAAAAAAAACTTATCTCTTACATAATACATTGATACTGGAATGAGAACTGAATTGAACAATCAATATTAAATGTAGCTTTCTATGAAAATTGGGAAAAGGTGGGCTTTCAAAGACATAATTTGGGAAGAAACAAATGGAAAAGTTTTTAAATCATTTGAAAATTTTGTAGCATCCATTTATGATATATGTTGTGTTCTGAAATATTTGTTGGTAGGTAACAGTTTCACTATGACTATGCATTATCTTAGTAATTTTATATTTTGAAACTATGGGCTGGATTGATTGTGTAGCTAATAGGATGCTTCATTTGCACACAGAAGACCCGGTTTGACTCCCAGCACCAAAAATAATCTCCCTGCCAGGAGTAATCCCTGAGCACTGAATCAGGAATAATCCCTGAGAACCTCTGAGGAAGGAAGGAAGAAAGGAAGGAAAGAAGGAAGGAAGGAAGGAAGGAAGGAAGGAAGGAAGGAAGGAAGGAAGGAAGGAAGGAAGAGAGGAAGGGAGGGAGGGAAGGTGGGAGGGAGGGAGGCAAGGGAAGGGAGGAAGGGAGGAAGGAAAAAAGGAAGGAAGGAAGGAAGGAAGGAAGGAAGGAAGGAAGGAAGGAAGGAAGGAAGGAAGAAAGGAAGGAAGGAAGGAAGGAGGGAGGGAGGGAGGGAAGAAGTTAATGAGAAAGGGAGGGAGGAAGGGAGGAAGGGAGGGATGAGTTTTTGTTATGATTTAATAAGTTCTTTATTAATATTTTTCTTTTATGATTTGTATAAGTTTAAAAAGATGTTTAACAGAGTCTTTTGTTCCGACCTTTTCCAGATTCTTTCTGCTTAGATATGGATTCTCTTCTCTTCCTAGATACTTTAGATGAGTAACTTAATTGATCTCTTTTTTTCCAGCTTTGTTTATATATAAATTTCTGTCTCCTTAATTGACCTCACATCTTCAATGTCTTCATTTATCCAGAAAAAAAAATGAAAATCTTATTAAATAAAAATGAACAATGGATAAAAAGGGACAAAAGGAAGGTGTGACTACAAAACAAAGTGTGGCATATAGATAAAAATTCTAGCAGCTAGGTTTTCTATTAGATCATCATTGAAGACATTCTTTTAGAGAGTTGTTTGTTCAGAAGTCTGAGAGTAGACAACATTAGCAGACTGGGTGCTTGGTCAATCTGACATTAACTTCTAGTTTCTTAGTGCTTATTGCTAAAGTACTATTTCCTTAATATCATTTCTCACCCTTTTCCCAACACCCTTCAACAATTCCCTGGACTCATATACAAACAAATAATTAGTGATAGAATTATTAGCATTACTATTTGCATAATATTTCTCATTTCAGAATTCTAAAAGTATAAACAGCAGCCCTCTACAATAGCAGTTCTGAGACTCAACTCTTTCAGGAAAATTTCCAGGCCATATGAGTTAGTAAGGCTACTGTGTGGCCCATATTTTCCCATTTTAATCAGATTCTTGGGTGAATCTCACATTTTTTTCTGAATAGCATTAGATAAGAAACATTGCTCCAAAAGATGACCTGATCTGATATTATGAATATTTTCTGACTCTCGTAGAGATAAAGTACAGATATAGAATGATTATAACAAATGTAAGTTGATGGCAGTGGTTTTCATAGCTAACACAAAACTTTCAGGAGTGTTTTGTATTCATTGGTCTACAATATCAAAATGTTAACATTAATAAAAATAATTGGATGTCACTGTCACTGTCACTGTCCATGTCACTGTCCTCCCATTGTTCATCGATTTGCTCAAGCGGTCCCAGTAAAGTCTCCATTGTGACACTTGTTATTGTGTTTGGCATATCGAACACATCACGGGTAGCTTGCCAGGCTTTGCCGTGCGGGGGGAGATACTCTTGGTAGCTTGCCGGGCTCTCCAAGAGGGGCAGAGGAATTGAACTTGGGTCAGCCATGTTGGCTGCGTGCAAGGCAAACGCCTTACCCACTGTGCTATCACTCCAGCCCAATTGGACATAGTTGGAACTTCTTTTAGACTGATGGTACAATATCATGTCTGCATTATCAACAACTGACATTCACATAAAGTTGTATATGTCTAGAGAGATATCTCAGTGTTCAGTGCATTCATGTACAGAGAGCTGAGTTTAACTCCAGTCCCATATATTCCCTGGAGAACCAGTGGATGTAGTTCTGAAGACCACCAGCAACAACTGGTCAGAGTAACACATCATGTCCAGGTCCTCATTGTATTACCCCTTGTTTTTGCCTGAGTATCCCTAGGAGTCTCCTCACGACCAGTAAGCACTGTTTGGTAAGTGCCCCCACTCTCAAAAGAAAATTGGGGGGTACAAATGTAACCCCCAAAATGGGAAACTATAGTATACATCTTATCTTCATTGCTTTTGACAAAGGGATACAACAGTTTATAATGCCAGGTTCTAGGATTATATTGAAATAATTCTGTCTGTACATGAAATTGAACTATTGTGGGGTAATTGGGACACTTGATATATAAAAAATTTCAGCAATATTTTACATGTACATCTTTGACATGTCCAAAATGTACATATTCTCAATAATGTATTCTTTATCAATTGATTACTCCTAAAAATCAGCAGCACACATTTTCAATGATATATGTTGCCTGTTTTTTTTAATATTTTCTATGAACTTTGATAAAAGGTGAAACTTACAGTTTACAACAATTTTTACTTTCTTCACGTCTGGGAATGACACATCATTTTCTGCACTGCATTCATATTCTCCAGCTTGATCCCTTGTAATTCCATAAATGTCCAAATATTGTCCATTTTCAAATGGTTTTGCTACAAGAAAGAAAAAGTACATCATGTTTAATTGTAGCAGCCTGAAGCTTCATTCAAGTAAAACAACAATTGCCTGTCTTCCTATTAAATATTGCTGAGAAAACAATTTCAAATGAAACTAGAGAATTATTATACCCTTTGTTCTCCTGTGTTTGGAGAGAAAAGTCAGAGAAAAAAAAAAAACAAAACTGAACAAGGGATACTCTAAGAACTGTTTCCGCAGAACAGGATATACATGTGTTCTTTTTAATTGATTGTGGTCTCCTAACCTCTTCACACATCAAATAGAGCACTGTACATTTCTGTAATTGAGTTCAACAACCTCCTAGCAGTGTAGATGAAATTCACTAATATGACTTGGTACATATTGACTTTTATACAGTGTAATGTAGCAACTTGACACTTAACCTAACTAAATGTGACTTTTCTTTTGGGAAAAATATAAAGTCATTCTCATAGTTTCAAGCCATGTGGTGTGATAAAAGTAGAGAAAAAATTCAATGATTGCCATATTTTCATTTCCAACATTATTAAAGTTTCTCTGGGAGGCTTTGTATAGCCCATTCAATACTTAATATACACTCCATATAAACTACTCAGTACCCGTGGGAAAATAGAACTTTATAGTTCTTACAGGAAGAGTTGAGTGCTTCTAAAAACAAATTATTTTAATTTCAGAGTAATCTAGGGAAATATTCTATCTAAAATAGCTGTAGATTAAAAATATATACATATAAATGTATATAAAAATCCAAAAGGTGTATTTTAAAAAATATTATCTCTCTAAAACTATGGAAATTTATTTCAAAAAATAAATAAGGATACTGAATCTGAGGATACAAAATTTTTATTTCAAAGTATAAGTAAAGGTAAAGGTAAGGTAAAGGCCCTCCCGTTGATCGTCGATTTGCTCGAGCGGGCCCAGTAACGTCTCCATTGGAGACTTTGTTGTTACTGTGTCTGGCATATCGAATACTCTCGGTAGCTTGCCGGGCTCTCCGAGAGGGGCGGAGGAATCGAACTCGGGTCAGCCATGTTGGCCACTTGTAAGGCGAACGCCCTACCCGCTGTGCTACTAAATCTTTCCTTTGGCAAAGGAACAATAGATATGTGCGAACTTTAATAAAAGAGTCCCTTCTCTCTCCTTGTAGAAGTTTTAAAAAATTATATTTCAATGCACACTGAAAAGAGTTGGAAATGAAACATGGTCTATTTTCAGAAGTAAAACATTTTTATTTCATCTGACTTTTCTCCCAAATTATTATAATAGTGAAGAAGTTAAAGAGATATTAGATCTAATTATAAGAATTAAATTGAATCAAATTCAGATATGGTTTTCCAAATCTAGAATATGTGTCAATTAAAATTTATTCTATTTGTTCTCACATCTAGGCCAATGTAAGATGGGCCTATAAATCACACTGTATACTCTCCAGGTAACTATGCCATTTTTTCATCATGAATTGGAATGCTTAAAATATTCATGCTTAAGCCATTTCTCCTTTTACTTCACTGATCTAATATTATACATATGGACAGTTTTAATTCTGAGCTTATAGGTTATCAGTAAATTGGTTTTTGAATTTAGGGTCATGGATCAGTGGCAAACCATATCCGTAAAACATGGGTTTGATCTCTAGCACCACAAAAACAAACAAACAAACAAACAAACAAAGAACTTAAGGAAGTAATATTGTTTCTATCCACAAAAAGGCTAAATAGAAGATTTTGAAATATTGATCAAAACTGCAAGAAGTTGCATGAAAAATACTAAGAACAACAGGACCACTAAGTCACTGAGTTTCAGTAAGCACCATTTACATCTGTTGAGTGTTGTCCTTAGAATTCACTGCAAAATCTCCATGATCACTTTTAGACTCTTTGTCCTCCCCAGTATAGAACAATGTTCTTATTTATAAGTGCCATAATTATTAGTAAATGTTTATGTATTGCATAACTCAATAGCTAAACAACCAACAAATGGACTAAATTGTCAGCAGTAAAATAAAAGACTAAAGTAAAAACTGTAAAGCATGTGATACCTGGCAAAAACTGTGATTTTACATAATATATTTATAAATCTAAGCCAACGTAAGATGGGCCTATAAATCACATTGTATACTCTCCAGGTAACTATGCCATTTTTTCATCATGAAATGGAATGATGAAAAGTAATAATATTCTATTATTACTTCCATTCACCATGAATTAACTCATGAATAGGTGTGCCTTAATCATTTTGTTACTTTATATAAATAGCTCTATTTCCATCCTCAACTCATCCTTGCTCTATTTTCATTCTGATAAACTTGGAATTTCTTTACCCAGTATTTATACCTTGACCTTGCTAATTTTGGGACATGTGCATAATGGGATGTCATTTGCCAATAACATTAATAAAAAGTAATGTGGATAGATATCAAATACATTTTACCAAAAAGAAACTAGGCTCAAAAGGCTACATATTATTTGGATGCACTTATATGACATTCTAGAGGGAATTGCATAAAAGTGAGAATGCTCTTATTTTAATCTTATTAAAATATTTTTATTAAAATATTTTAAAATATATCTTAATATTTTCTTTACCCAATTTTGCTCTCATGTTCTCAGTCTACATTGAGGGACATCATAAGAAAAAAAAATGCAAAAGTTCCAATTGTATTTGTTCAGTACAGTCATTAAAGTTGTACTAATATAATCAATGTGTTCACTTAACTCAGGGCCTGTGGGAGAAATTATTTGTGCCTCTTAGTGCCAGAAAATGCTCTACTTTTGGCCTTATAATTTGCTTTGATATTATGATCCATTATTTTATAAACTAGTTATATACTTTCTTTCCCAGGATACTAGAAAACTTAAAGCTAAGATAAATTTTTAAACTTTATTTGTTGGTCCTATAACTTATGGTGTTTTGGTGGTCATTAAGCATTGTGTGGTTATAGTACTGTCCTCCTGTTGTTCATCAATTTGCTGGAGTGGGCACCAGTAACCTCTCACAACAAATTGTGAGACTTGTTCTCTCTCTTTTTGGCATATCGAATACGTCAGGGGTAGCTTGCCAGGCTTTGCATGCGGGTGAGATACTCTTGGTATCTTGCCAGTCTCTCTGAGAGGGGCGGAGGAATCGAACCCTGGTCAGAGCCACATACAAGGCAAACACCCTACCCCTGTGCAATTGCACCAGCCCTGTGTGACTATATAAGTACAAAATAAAAAGAATATACGACCTAGGGTATTTAGTATATACGTAGATTCTATATAATGAGGAAGAACTATGTTAATATAAAATAAACTCGATACATTTCTTTTATACATTTTCATAAAGTCTTGATTCTACTTTGTTTACAAATAAACATTTCATAAATATAGAGTATGCAAAGAAATATGGTATCCAATAGACATCTAAATGTTTCTAAAATAATTATGAAATCACTTTGTGATCATCAATGTCATGCAAATGACTAATCATAGTGATTTTTGAATATCTACAGCAGATCAACCTGTGCTTGCGGGACAAGTGCATCAGCAGTCTGAGGGTACCTTCGGGCTTCTTGATACCCCAAAATTACCACTGTGCCTATGTCCAGACCTCAACAACTTAAAAAGAGCCAAATTTACCAAGAAATTAAATGGCGAATTTATTGACCTTATTTCAGAGACCCATAAATATTGAAAGAGATCAAAAACTACAGTTAGGGTTGGCACCATGGTGCACTGCGGGAGAGTGGGCATGCCATGCAGGGCGCATACCAATAGTTTATTTCTCTGGGAAATATGGAAACAAGGGCTATGATCCAGAAATACACAAAAGAATCTCCGAACCAAGCAGCTCACTGCAGAGATGCCTCTGGACTTTAGGCAAGGCCTACCTCACCGGGGGGCCTCAGATGAGGACAAGCAACATCCCTCCACCTGCCATCTAAAACCCCCAGTGACTGCCAACTTCCAGTATCCAATGCAAAGTGCAGGTATGCAGGTTCAGGGACGGCAAACTCCAGGTCTCAAGGAATAGGGGATGGGCCTGTCCCTCTCAACACCCATCTCCATGGAACCCTGGAGGTCATGCCCACAAAACTGCCTCCAGATGCTACTTAAGCTTCTTAATAGCCACGATCCAGAGACACACAAAATATTCTTGGAACTGAGCAGGTTACTGCAGAGATTTCTTCAGACCTTAGTTATCTAAAATTTTAGAATTGCAGTAGCATTTGGCACTCTCGTAGCTGCATGACATTGTATGCTATTCATAACAAGCAATACAAAAGAGAGTATGGGAAATAGTTTGCCATAAAGGCAGGGGTCGGGGTCGGATGGGAGGGGATACTGGGGACATTGGTGGTGGAAGATGTGTACTGGTCGAAGGCTGGGTGTTTGATCATTGTATGACTGAAACTCAAACAGGAAAGCTTTGTAACTGTATCTCATGGTGATTCAATAAAAGAAATAAAGAAAGAAAGAAAGTAAGAAAGAAAGGAAGGAAGGAAGGAAGGAAGAAAGGAAGGAAGGAAGGAAATTAACATTCTGAATAAAAAAAGTAATGTGATGTTCATGCCCAATTCAATCAGTTTAATAAATAGCAGTATAAATAGCAGTATTCCTACATTAAAAAATAAATAGGGGTTGGAGTTATGGTACAGAGGGTAGGGCATTTGCCTTGCATGAGACTGACCCGGGTTCATTTCCCAGAATTCCATATGGTCCCCAGAGCATTGCCAGGAGTAATTCCTGAGTGTAAAGCCAGTAGTAACCCCTGTGCATCACCAGGTGTGACCCAAACATAAATAAATAAATAAATAAATAAATAAATAAATAAATGTATGTCATTTGGCATCTTGAGGGAGTAGATATAAATAACAGTTAAATTATATTGCTTTCATATAAAGAATCTTATCAAAGAATAAGGGATATAACTGTAACAGAAAGAAGTAATCAAGAGTGCATACTTTGGATTAAGTACTCTAGCTTCTATTTAATATGTGGCAACATTTTAACCTTTC